TTGTCACTGTGACAATGCCATATTCCCAATTTTGATTCATTTCAAACAAAATGTGTCCTTATTTGAAGTTTTTTTCTCAATGACAAAGTTATCTCATGTTGAAACAATCGCATAAAAGTTTTTTGTCATTTTGTGGTCTCAGTCAGAAAGCAGCAGTACATATTTGTACTTTCTGGGAAATCTAACCACAACCTGCTAGGCCATCTACTTTCAGAAGATCATATTTTTGAAATCCAGGTCTCCTACAAACCGACACTGCACCAGAGCATTCTACTCTGGAGGTCAAGAAATCTATTTTGAGTAATGACCAGGTCCTAAATTCTTAAGAGATCACATTTCCAAAAACACGGTACCATACATCATTCTTGTTTTCTTTGAACTAGCACTGTGCTTCCCGCTTCACAGAAGACTGAAAGCATTTGAATTGTGCATGTACAGTATGTGGTTTGATCTGTTACTTTTTTGGCAACGACCAGATCTGAAAAGGATCTGTATGTTCGAGGTTTAAGTACATGTAAAAGATATTTATCTTTTATTCTGGCACCTTTTTTTCCGAGAAATATGTCAATGAAATTTGCAGCAAAGGAAACATGGATTCTTGGGTCGTTGGTGTCACAGTTTTGGCAGACTTTTTTGCTGTACACAGATAATTTCAAACTGCAGCACAGTGGCCTTACTTGTAACAATGGGAGCCGGTAACGACTATTCTCTCTCATAAAATTTTAAAAAAGGAACCACAGATGTTGCATAGTATAAATATACAATTATTGGCACCATGCCATCTCTTGCTAGCCCTGAGTATAACTTCGCATACAATGTGTGCTTCCCCCCTCATTACAAGGGCATAATGTGTGCAATGTGCCCCCAAGCTCACCCCATTTGAAGTTGTGCAGCTACTGACCAAAACACTTCATGTACATGTACAAGCAAACTTGGATATACATGTACTCTGATTTTCGCGACATCAAGCAGCTAGCTCATGAGAGTTTCTGCGCTACTTGTTAAAAACTCAGTGTATAAACTATATATGTGTACAATGAAGAAAAGGTTTTTGGTAGCACCATGCAAGGAGTTCTCTTTTGTAGTTCTGAAAAGAACTGGGAAATCTTTTCAGAGCCCCACATATTCACAAAAAAGATCTTGCATGGCGCTACCGCAAATCTTTTACTTGCCACCGTCATCATGAAAAGCTTCACTCAACGCTCATTATCTTAATGAGTTGCACTTGGGCAAACTTAGGTGCATAATAATGTCAGCCCATGAGAACTTTGTTGCTAACTGACAAAGGAGCTACTTTTTCACACACATTGAGGTTTTGCTTGCAAGAGGAGATGAAACTTTGTCATTACTTTTACCTTTATTTAAAAAAAAAGTTTTTTGTTTGGTGGTGTTTACAGTTAACAGAAGGCTACTCTGGGTCTGATCTAAGACTGGTGTGCAAAGAGGCTGCCATGAGACCGGTCCGAAAGATCTTTGATATCCTGGAGTCTAGCACCATGGGTACGTAAACAGAAACCACAGCCATGATGAGCCCATAACTCACAGTAACAGACAGTACTTTCATTCCATGTCAAATCAGGATCATTTTGTAACATTCTAGAACATTTTGCAATGTTTATAGATTCCAGAAACAACAGCGCTGACGCGCCAATGTTGGGAAAAACCCGTCTGCATGCTTTTCAGGAAACAGTTGTGCATCCGTGCATGTTTAGTTTCATCTTGTTAATTCTGCTAAGTTTTGTTCATTGAAATCTGATACAAGCTGTGATACACTCTCCAGGTGAACTTATGCCCAAGCACCAGTAAAATGTTTTTGTAAATCTTTTCCTTATCTCCAGCTTTTTGCTGTAAGTTCAAGCTTCTTGGATTAGTTTCCCCAAAAGAGACCATCTGCCTCAATGCAGGCCATTTATGTCACCAAAATCTAATTGTTCAATGTTAAAATCAAATTAAGGAGTTTAACATATGCTTCAACATAAACATTTCAGTGTTGTTGGCTTGAGTTTTCAAAAACCTGATTGCCTCAAGTAGTGGAAAAAAAGATTGTGACTTGACTTTGGGAAAATGACTCGGTTGTAACACTGTTAACATTTGAAAATAATTTTGGCGCTTGAGATACATGTACATGTATGTCAAGACCAGCACTGAAATCAGGAACTACATGTAGAGGATAGCTCAAATTCATAACGAGACATCAGGCTTAATTGGGTGAACCCAGGAACAAGTGAAGTGTGCTTGTGACACTCACTTCTGAATTTACCCGTTCTTTCTTTTTATGTCATGGCAAAAAAGAATAATCCTACAGAGTGTTGGTACTGGTTTCAATACCGGTATCTTTACCTAGAGAATTGTTTTTTGTTCTCAAGGATATTTCTCAGTAATTCTCGGACAGGACATATTTCTTTCAGTAGACGCCTGGGGTCTCATTCAGTATTGTGAGGCTAAGTTGGGTATTCCTACACGTAACATTCCAACTGCCTGAATTCCCTCAAGTAATTGGACAGCTGTTTCTTGCAGTTTGGAAAAAAAAAAATTTCTGACTTTTAAAATACCAAGTTTCATCTTTAAGCAAAGTTGACCCCTCAGTAGTTTCGACTGTCAAGTCCCCACAGCAATGCAATTATTCTCCTGCGTTGTATTTTGTTGTGCAAAGTGTGCGGTGCTTGTCCAAGAAATGCCTTGTCTTGATTTCCGTTTTTTGTGTGTGCGTTTTGGTCTTTTGTATTCAGATCGAACTGATAGTAATTTATATTGGAAAAGTGAGTAGCCTGTGTGGTTTGCTTTCATCCTGCGCGTGTTGTCCATCATTATTTTGTGGGGTTCACATTTGCTGAGATGAGTGCACAATTCTCTTTTCCTTCTTGCTTGAAAGAGCTGTGGACCAATCCGGGTGTATTCAGTTATAAAGTGCATATTCCCCGACTAGAGAAGTGCACGACTTAAACACTTTGAGTTATGCAGACGTCCAACCAGGCAGGGGTTCCATTTGTCAAAATGCGGATGTTTGAAAATCCTTAGGCTTGAGTGATTCCCTAAGAGCTCACACACACACACGCTCTCGGGCTCAAAACAGTTTGGAGGTTGATCCTACCTGAATGTCGGCCTCTAGAGGCCGTGGTCCATGGCTTGGCATCGTAGCAATTTTTAAAAGTGATGATTGGGGGGGGGAGTTGCAGAAATGTTGAACAAATGACCACCGAGGGTCAGCGTTTGTAAAGTTCAACTTTGTAAAGGACAATATGGTATCTTTGGTTGGTATTTTTGGTCAAAAATAATACTGTTCCCTGAACAAGTGCATTGTGGAATTGTACACTGCGGGCAAGTTGTTCAAACAGCTGAACAATTTTAGTATACCATAATTCAAATTGACTGAGCCTCAGACACCAATGCTACCTTGCAGCTGGAGCACATGTAAAATACTGGATTTGTGTCCATTCTGGTAAAATATGTCTATTCTGTACAAAATATATAGGAATGTTGTGTGCAGTGTGTCATTCCAATTGGAGCACTCTTACATGTACCTCATCACACAGTGGCATCAAGTGTGTTTTCCTGCAGTTTGGCCACACATTACGTTTGCTTAAATGTGCAGGATAGCAGCCATATGGTACATGTACATGTATCGCCTGTCACTCCAGAGCACAATATAGTCCATTAGGGCCTTCAAAGCATCTCCAACCCTCCCTCTCCCCCGCCTTAGCTCTTTTCCTTCTCTCACGAAAGGGTAACTTTATGGCTCTCTAATTGTGCATGCCTTTCATTTCTTTGAAGTACTAAGGGTTGGAATTTACATTGATTTGAAAATCGTTCAGAAAAATTTCCCCTTCCCTTTTAAACATGTAAACAACTAAACATCCCACCCTTACCACGGTTTCATTGAAAACTTTAAAACAACAAATTGTATACAATGTAAACAGTTAGCACAAAATTCTGGTGATGAATTCATGATGATATGACTGAACAGTAAAGTATTGTCTGAAAATCAGATTACATTTTACAGGCATCGTTTACAATAAAATAAATGCCAGATTGTGTCAATTAAAATGTCAAACCTTTAAAAGGGGCGGTCGCATTTAAACGTTTCAGAGAATCTGAAAATGGGTTTGGAACTTTTTTGTTTAAACGTGTAAACATTCCATCCTACTTATGAGAAGTCTTCCTTGAACCAGTCAAGGATGGAGTACTAACAAATGCACCAGTCAGGGTCATAAATGATGCAGGAGACAAAGTTGCACAGTAATATTCACATTTCTTACGATATCCTGTATTAAGCATATCCTATAATGACTCTGAGGCTGGGAGAATGTTATGTTTTTATCTTTGGAGACAACACATTTGCCAAATGTAACCAGAGTTATAATTTGTGTCACTAGTTAGAGATGGCTTTTCCCCACTGAGGGCCTTGCAAAATATAAAAGACTAACAGTATAAAATTAGCATTTTATAATACTTTACATTAAAATATGATAACAATGTTCAAAGTTTAATTAATTGTACACATTCTGTAGCCATCAAAGAGACGATCATTCTGCCAAAGTGTGACTTGTTTTATTATTGTTTTTTGATGGCAAACTGACCAGCATTCATTTTCTGTCTTGTTCAATTTGACCTTAGATGAAAAGGTTCCTGATTTCAGCATCGACCCCATCACAACAGATGACGTCATTTCTGCCCTAGCCCACACCAAGCCCTCGGCCAAACTTCTCAAGGACAAATACATCAAATGGCAGAGAGAGTACGAGTCGGTTTAAAGGCAGGGCTAGGACTCATGGCAACATATTCATTTGGAGCTTTTTTCAGAGGAAGAAAGTTACTTTGACCTCTGAGGGTCTGGACACGGCAAAGAAGGCTGCTGTTGTGGTAAGAGACACTGTTGCAAAGAAACAGTGGCCTGCCGACAAGGTCATCTCTGCTGGGTCACTGATGAGGCAGATGTTCGCAACCTTGCAGTCTACGAACCAGTACTGAGAATGGAACCGAAGTCACCAATTAAGATTGGCACATACCCCTATCCTCTGCTTGCCTGCTGTCACTGCCTGGTGCATGAATCAGGACTCTACTGCAGCTGCCAGCTATATATGATGCCATTCCGCGTATTACTATTCTCAAGGTACAAAATTAACATCCCCAACACCAAGCCACTTCATATAATTGACTACTTGCAGCACTGGCCCTCTGCTGCAGTGGATTCCAGCCAGTCACCTGATCCCGGCAAACTTGGGTGACAAATGGTTAAGACGTCTGCATTAGTAATCAGGAAGCTGTGGATTTGAATCCCACTTGATTTTTTCGCACCCCTTGTACTAAATTTTGCCCCTGAACAGTGCCACTCAATTATTGGTGCTGCCTGAGAGCTGAACCCCCCCCCATAAAAAAAACCACCTTACAAGCTTGCTGTCACAAGCTCAATGGTACATGTGCACTATTAAAAGTATACAATTCCTTAAATTACTTGGAAGGAGGTAACATAACCTTCTTTTTTAGGACCCGCATACCTCCTCAGCAATCAGCGATATTTTTTGGTGGCCACTTACATGTACCTCAGCATACCCACGAGGTATTTACTTAAATTAAGAAGATTTTACTTTATGGGGAATTCCTAAAGCCCTCCCCCGCCCTGAAACACTTTCTCCACACCTGAGGCTCAAGAACCTAGTCTTTTACTACTCTTATTTAATCAAACCTTGGGTGAAATTCATTTTATTGCTTTGTTTACATGTAAGAAACTTGACATCCCCGAAGTGACTTTTCATATCATGTACTCACATTTTGGAAGCAAAAAGACAAGGCACAGATGTGGAATAAACAATGTTTATTAAACAAAACTAAACTGGCCAAACTACAATTGCATCAGTGTAACAACTTGCAATAAAAGTAATCAGATATATCAGATTGTATAGTTATTTCTATAATAAACTTTGTACAACAAAAAAAATTGTAGATTAGAAACAAATTTCATCAATTTCTTTCTGAAGTAACCTCAATAGCTGGTCTCCTGTTCAAAACTATAAAGAACATGTAAAATGACTTATAAGTCTATTTCATTTTTATTGTGTATAAGAACCAATGTTGATTGATGCCAAAGGATGACGGATGCAGGAGGTACTGTATGCTTTTTTGGTTTTACGTTTCCTTTTTTACAAAATTGATGTCAATTTCCCGGTCTTTGGATGCATTCTGTGCAATTTCAGCTGTATTCCCTTGCTTAAATCCCACATTTTATCTATTTTTGTAGGCACATGTATATTGTAGTTATTGTAAGATTTCACTGTAAATACTGATGGAATGTCATGTGCAACATTTGCACCCTTGCCTGCACAGCGATGGATGTATACCATGTATATCTGCATATATAAAGTGTACTATTTACAATGCATACGTGTATATTGTTTGAAAAATTTCAACTATGAAAGCAACATTAGCTTTATTGACAAGTGATGGATTTGTTTTGGACTGGGGTGATTTGGTTTTTGAGTTTTTCTGTATGCCTTGGAATGCAGGTTTTAAGAAGTTGCACTGTTTGATATGAATAACACCCCCACTTCATAACTGGTTTGATTTTAAAGCATACTGCTCATGTGAAAGCACACTCTGCAGTGTATCTAATATGTTACTTGACATTTTGTTTGGCATCATCAGAAGGATCAGTTTGATAAATCAAATAGAACGCACACCAAATCTGAACACATGATGGCAGCATGCTTACAGGTCACTGCATTTTTCTTTTCATTGCACTGATTAATGCAATAGCTGTCATTCGAGTTACAGCATGTAACTCGATGCTGTGTGTAGAGACATAACTTAGACGAAGATGAGTCTTCAGGAAATCAAAAATTTTTTTGTACTTTTCTCCATCGGTGTCACATGGAGAGTACATGTATTTCCAGTTGCCAAGGTGTACCAGCAGAAAGGTTTCACACAAGACATTATGTTGTTGGGAATATAATGGAAAGCGTGCATGCAGGCATGAATAGGACACGCATGTACAATGGGGCATTGGAAGGATAGGTTTTCACAGACAGCCAATAACAGGACGAGCCTTTTTTCAGAACTGTGAAGTGTTATGCAATCATCACTTAAAGTTTGTCAGCATGCTGGAAATCGGGGTCAAAAACAATCCCTCACCCGTGTTCTCTGAAATGTAATAAGATGATACACACAAGAGCGTAAACAATTCCACATCTGTGACATCTTTAGTACCAGTTAAGTCAGGTTAAGGAAGTAACAGTCTCTAGCGGATTTAAGCAATTTGTCTATAATTTCAGTCCTGCCAAATTTGCCCTCAGAGCTACATGTACATGGAAAGTAACAGATCCTCTGCTTTCTGTGCCCCATCCCTGTGGTGCTTCAACCTTTTGGTCAGCTTGTGTCAAAATTGATCTACATGTAGCCTGGTGCCAGAGATGGCACATCAAAGAGGTTATTGTGGGAAATGTATTATGCAAATAAATTTTTTACACAAATTATTTTCAAAATAATAAGCATGTCTACTCCTGCAGGTCAAAATGGTATATTTGTTGAAGTTCCAATCAATGTTTCTTGAAAGTACCGGCAACACTAAAAATAAAACAAGTTGTGGCTGTACTGTGAATGAAAATACAGCCTATTCTAGATCTCTACTCTCTGTGTCGAGACATCAAGTTTGGGAAGACGCTTGGACAAGATACAACGGGTTAAGCATAAAATTTTAAAAACCTACACAAATTTCATGAACTTCTTGAACAAGTGGGAAAATTGAAACATTTGTCTGTTGAAATCCTATATTCTAAGTTACAATAACATAATACGAGTAAGTTCACAGAACACACAGGCTAAATAAAGATTCAAATCAGAGGACTTTTTCTTGTTTAAAATAATTACAGAATTGTCTCTTTTAACCCTAACAGTCCCAAATCCTCCAATTTCAATATGATTTTACATACACCCAAGGGGGTTAGGGTTAATAGAAATTTTCATGCACTCTAGGGCTAAAGGGTGAATAGGAGATACAATTCGACTGCAACCCTGACCCAGATATAAATGAATCCCAATTTAAATGCATCAATCAACCCAATTTAATTTCATCCTTTTACAAAAGCATCATTGACTGTGTACTAAAAAGTAAAATGGCAACCCTAATACGGTGGTGCTTAAGTATACATGCATGTACACGGTTTGATGCAGCTTTGACTATTTTTGTCATCATTGGCATCGTGGTTGCTAGGAGTCAAATATTTGGAGCAGTGCATGATCTGGAAACAAGATACAAAAATACACAAATTAATATCTTTACTGTGCCAATTAACAGGGTTAAGGGTATGGGTGTAAGCCAAAGGCCCTGTGTGCAGACTGGTGGTGAAATTTCTGGGGGAATGCTTGGGTGCGCACAATTATATCAAGACAACAAACACCAGCTTGTACATACATGTAGGCTGTGTTAATTCAGAGATATAACGTGGGCAGGGGTATGTAGCTATGCCACTGCAAAAGCTACATATGCACTTCAAGACCCATTTATTTAAAGGCTGTGTACTTTTGTGAGGTACATCAAAGACACGGAACCAGACAACGGCATGAAGGTGGCTAGACCTACGTGTACTGGCTAATCCAATGTGCGAATCAACCAAACTGCAGTGGTGCAAAATCTGTATCTTTCATCTGTGTGTATCCTAACTTCTTAAGAAGTTCAAACAAAAACAAAATGCAGAAACAATACATCACAGAAATGTGACGTCCGAGTCATTCAGGGTCATCCCTAACTGTGATGTATTTAAATGTCTCGTCTGCTATTTAGAACGAGTAATGCATACCCAGCATTGGGAGAATTTTTGAAACACCGAGGACCTCTGTCCACCCAATACGAAAACAGAAAGTTCACAGAAATCACGATTAAAAGAGTGCTCACAGTGTGAAACAGACCCCAATTAACACCATGAAAACAAGTGTCAACACTATCTGTGCTGACTTCCAAGAGGCCCCTCCTCACTGGCAGAGAATAGCCAGGTTGGTCAAACTGTAAAAATTCTCCTGGCGCCTGGTAAGTACTAGCACAGTCCAAACATTCCTACAGAAATTTGGTTGTGCGTGCTCAGTTCATCCCCCCAAGACGGTGAGTTCCAAGGATAATGCTACAGGTACATGTATGTTGAAGCATGCCATCTCTCATTACTCCCACAGGGAGAAGATGGGTCCACGCTTACAGGAGAGGTCCAGGATGTCCTGCCTCTCTTGTAGGTTCTCTTGCAGGGACTCCATCAGCTGTAAGTATCGGAACATTGTATCCCGGGGCCACAGAGTCTCAGTTGGGTTCTTCACCAAGAGCTGCAAGTTATCATGGACGAGTTGCTCCCAATCTGGAAGAAATGTACAAAATGAGGGCTGGGATCAAAGGCAGATCTAGTGTGGACAATAGGGACCATATGCCCCCTCTCTCCCTGAAAAAGTGGAAAAAAGGGTCTAATTTCCTTTCCTTCTAAAGAACATGTAAAAAGCCCTAAAATGTACCGGTACTAGCATCATCCCTGCAGAAATGCACAATAAAGATTAAATCAAAACAATTTCAAACTTTTGTCCCCCTCCCCCAAAAGTTTTGCCCTCTTGCGATTTTGGTATTTTTCTACTGCTGCATAAAACTGGAAACCCAAAGCAGTTTTTACGTATGACAGGATTTTGCAATGAGGAAATTTATACCCCTGGTATTTGTTGTTGCTGTTTTATATGCTCTACATGTATTGTTTGAATTACATATTGCACTAGATATCACATTTTCTAGTCAGAATCCTGTCACTGTGGTGGCTGACATGGCTGAAGTCTGAAATACATGGGTAAGAAAGATACGTGCGTTTCCCAGAAAACCACTTGCTGATATTTCAATTTGTGGTGGGCCATGGACTTCCTGTTTAGTATCGGTAGGAGGAATGTAAGAACTGAAATAATATTTCTCACAGCTTTTTTGGGGTTATGAGAAAGCTACCATTAAACAAAATGTCTATCTGCAGATCCTCGGTTCTATTGTGCTGAATTAAAGGGCCCACGCAATGCATCTTTTCAATGGAGTTTTTGATGGGGCACAACTATTAAATTTAACAGAAACAGTGGGCAGTCTTTTGGACATTTGGTCCTGGCAGTCAACAAATACCAGTTCCTTTCCATTTCTGCTTCAAAGAGCTGGGGCGTGCAGAATCCCCCCCCCAACATTTTCTGCATATCGTCAATGTACATAAATTTTCATTTCAAACCAACTGTGTGAAAGTCGGACATACTATTCTCATGCACCACCCATTTTTCCAAGACAGGTCAGTCAAAAATGTATACCTTTTCCACTGAGGTGCTCATCATGCACAAAGACTTCAATGCACGAGGGTGGTGAGCTCCACAAATGGGCGTAACATCCATGGTCTGAAAAGGCTTGGCTCTTTCAGTCAGGCACATCAGAGGTTACTGATAGAGTTCACTCAAAGAATTTGGTGACAACATAGAATAGACAGAAATTTATCCCTCTGGGTGAGCTTACTTGCTGATGACTGTTCTTCCTCCACCTGAAACTGACTGATTCGTCTCTGTATATCTGGGACAGAACCTTTAGAGATCTGCTCCTGGATGCTGTCACTAGTGACCAAAATTGCATGAACTGAGAATTAAATTAAGTTATAGAGATTAATGACATAAAACACATGTCATGAAGAAATAAAATGGTCCAATGCAACAAGGCTCTAGCTTGGTTTCATCCACATTTCGGCAAAACTTTAGAGTTTGTGGAGGAAACCAGAGCCATAGATCTGTGCATTAATCAAACACAATCTTCACTGCATACATAAGGCTCAATCTCAGGCAAACCCAGTGTACTAAATTGTGCCTCTACCAGCAGGTGCAGGAATCTTACTGCCCCTCACAGGTAACCCTGTTTTTGACAACCACCAATGCCACATGACCAAATAGTGACAAGTGAGACCCTTGATGACTTTGGATGCCTTTTTGATGACAACTTGGTGCCTTTTGATGACCTGCAAATTTTGGCCATGGCCACTGATGACCAAATGATGCCTAATTCCACTAACAATGACTATAACCAGAGTCCTAATAGCCCAGATATCAACTGGGCTATTAGGACTCTGGTTATAGACAAAAAAGAACCGATTTCCGCAAGGCAACCAACTCAGGAACACAAAACCATCATGATGACCTATGAGTTGCATGTACATTACGACTATAGGTGGCAGACCCTAGTCCATTACACAATGACCAATGTGCTTGGACAAAAATGTATTGAAATTCCTGAAACAACCTGAGTGAGTCGGTTAGTTGAAAACTGGCATGCGCAAATTGTCTGATATCAAGTTTGAACCCTTCCCCCATTCATCGACAAAAATGTGCTAGAGTTGGCAATTAAAGGGTTAACGAATGAGGATAACAAGAGACAGTAACAGATTGGATACAAAATGTGGAATTAGGTTGCATTGCAAACTTTTCTTGCTGTTTCACATGTTTATAGCCAGAAAGCACACAACTACGGTACATTTAAGCTTAAAGTCAGATTAAGTGTAATTCTATCAACATTACATAACAAGAAATGGCCACGAAAGATACACAAATATGTTGCACAACATTTCTATGACACCAAGGACTGTTCAACTTTTCATTTTCCAATTCTGGATGTTAAGCATGTAAATATGTTAACAATTTATCTACTCAATCCACAGATAAAGTGCCTTGAGAACCAATCTATGCAACACACACACCCAAAATAAAGAAAAATTTCATTTGTGATAAATTCTCCAAATTCCAAGCAGATGAGCTACACAAGACTCTTATTCCCTAACCTGAACCCCCTTTATAAAAAAAAAGATGATAGGTGAACAAGTTGTACATGAAACTCAGTCACTTGTGTGTAACAGAAAGTACTCAATATTTCACTCTTTTTCCGGACAGTGTCACAATCTGGGTAGTACCGGTACTGTGCCACACATCACTTTAAAAAAATCTTTCACTTTAAAATGCAAATAAGTTAGCTTGAACAAAATATTGTCACTTGGTGAAAGGACATTTACAATCTACTTTAATTTTCTGCTCATCACAAAAAGGTGTGGACGAGGATGATGCAAAAGCCCATCTCTCCCTCCCACCTCAAAAAGTGGAGAGGGTATATACCACAATCCCCCGTAGGATTTACACTCATGCTCGCACAAAAAACAACAGGTTTTAGCTCTTTTCTAATTACAAACCTTAAAATTAAACCACAAAGCTACATATAGCCTTCAAAGCCGCAACACTCAAGAACCATGTAAATGGTACTTTGTGGGGGTGCAGGGAAATGCTGTGGTTGGAACATTCATGTTTTCTTGGACAGCAACATTAATTAGCAAATTCCTGACAGTCAGGGCATGCACGAGAGTCATAAAATTCAAGGTAGGCCACCTTGCCTTAATGTGCAAGGAGGGACATTTATCAAACATAAATGCATTTATAATCAAAGAAATTTGATGGAGTTACCGTTTTCTCGGCTTTTTAGTCGATGCTAGCTTTGATGGCATTTCATACCTAGAAGAGTTCTGCAGAAGACCAACAGGGGTCTGTTGTAGGGACATGGCATCTTTACTGGTAGGAACATCTTTGTACTGGCCAACCAATGAGGTAGGATTATTTATGCTCTGTGGAACAGCAGCATAAGCATATTCCTGACCTTCTTGATGTGCAGTAGAGTCCTGCAATGTAAGGTTCCCTGAGGTAAGAGGACCACCCTGAAGAGACATTATCATACTCATCACCATCAGTCTTATTCTCCTGGACTCCAGCATATGCATATTTTGCACTTCTGGCAATGCATTTGTAGCCAGCTTGTGTCACACCTGGTCAATCCTGGGTGCTTGATTGAAGACCTCTGAATGCGTTTCCTTTGCCACCGAAGCACAATGATGAGGATGACTACTGCAACTGCTAGGACTACTGCCACAACAATGGAGGCCACATTGACTGACATTGCTGTTGCGATGTGGGGCTCAGTGGTTTTTCTGTGGCTACCTCTGCTGTCTCAACACTCAAAGTTGTTCTTTCCGGTTTCACTACATGTACTTTAACTCTTGCAGTGGCATTACAGAAGAGTCTAGAGGGCACACTAACTATATATATATGCATCACAATTCAAGATTCTCTGTCACTGCTATCTCCTAAGACTGACCATTCGCAGACTGTGCAGTTGTGTACCTATTTGTGGGTAGGATGTCTCCAGTATAAGCATTAGTCACTCTCCACCCGTAGTTGGTAATATAAGGCATGCCCTCTCCAGAACATTCAAATGATACCGAGGTCCCCTCCTGAACCCTGGATACTGCAGGTAGGATGGTGGCATTTGGCAAGATTTTCAGTGGCATCACAGAGCAAGTACGTGGCTCATCCAAGACAGATGTGGTCATGTTACAAGTGAAGGTCAATCCGTTATCATTTTCAGTGAGACAATACTGGTGGGTGATTGTTTGGCAGGGACCGGACAGCTGGTTGCCCTTTCTTAAAAATGTCAAGTAGGGTAGGGGTTGCCCACCTGTATGAGAACAGTAGAATTGCACCTCATCGCCTATGTCAAAGTGATCACTATTCGCTAATGAGGATGTAGGCCTAACCTCGCATATAGTTGACTCTGGGTTGGGAGGGATCGACACAAGAAGTTTGGCCCGGCTGGAATCTACAAACTCACCGTTAGGCAAGCCATATTGGCAATAATAGTTACCCACAGGTACAAAAAATGAACTCATGCTGTAAATTCATGATTGGGGAAATCAGAAATCACTTTTACATGTATGTGAACACTGACTGTATTCCCTTTCATGGCTTTCCACAGCAGAAAAACTTTTATTTGGGAGACTTTTACTGGTGGCAGCACACGAACTGGTCCCTTTTTACAGTACTGCACCTGCTCAGAACTATGCACGCATGCTAAGAAATGCTACAAAGGACCAGTATGTTTGGAGCCCTCCGTGTGTCTCAAAGTCTCCCACTGTAGGCATGTGCCTGCGCACATAATGGTACAGGTACATTTCTGTGTATATGTGGCCATCAACTCAAACATCGTATTCCTTTTGGATAAAATGCGAAAGAGACTTTCATCATGCTCAAACACTCATTTTCACTGCTGCTGGTTTTACATTAAGCTAATTATGCCACTAAGATACCATACAAAATGCAGACATTTTTCATGTAAATATTTCATACCGGTATTTAAAGCTATGTGCACCTTTACAATTCCAGCCAAGGCTCTTAACCTCAGAAATTATTCCTTCATTCAAAACTTTATTTCAGAGGAAACAGTTAATATACTACACCCTTCTAGTATATTTGGCACAATAAAAATAAATGCGTACTGTATTGCATGTACGTGGCATAACAGTGTGCCAGTCAGAAATTCTAAAACAGGAATATCCATGTGAACCAATATGATTCATATGCACTTACACATGTACTCCATGGTCGTCATCTTATAAACGGACCTTTTCATAAGTTAGTAGACCATAACAAGATCAGGCACAAGACCAAACACAAGACCATGGACAAGATCAGTCACAAGCAACGGGGTGAACAATGACTACAAGGAATGCTTTTGTTGCACTTCATTTGAATAGCTTGTGATTTGAATTCAGACTGGAGAACTTGTTTGTCTTGTGCTGGTCTTGTATTCGTCTTGTGAAGGTCTAGCTCACGTGGTCTCAACTACAACACTGGTCAGAACAGTCTGGAGAAAGGCTCAAAATTAGTCTGCAAATCTGAACTGCTCTAGCTACCATGTAGTGCTGTCAGACACACTAGCTCTTCTGCATTTATAAACATTTTAATACACAAGCAGAAACACAGTGAGACACTGAACAGACCACGGTAAATGAAAGGGCCCTATATGTTAACCACTACCTGCCAGGTGGAATTTGCATATGCGGGACAAGTTCCGGGCAATTTTCAACATTTTCTGTTTTCAAAATTCTTCAAAAATTCATAACTTCATTTACTGGACGTTTACACCCACACAAATGACTGTCTGGTGGCTACTCTGATGGGACAGGCAACCTCCATTGACGCTCGAGTATTGCAGACATATACGCCCAGTAAAGACAGCCCAGATTGTGCAGTGTTGCATAGTTTCCTTTGTTCTCGAAATTGGCCCCGTGCATTGCTGAATGGCAATAGCTTTACCATTATGGCCAGACTAGCGTGCAGCAGTACTGTATCACTCATCGCTGATGAAGTGCTGGAGCACTTTTGTCCCCATGGTGAATGCCACAAACAGTGGTATACTGTTTCAAAACAATGACAGATTACTTCCACTAATGCCAACTGAGAAATAATGGCAATTCCCAGCAGCTCGGTCTTTTGTTCCGAGTACCATCTTAGACCCAGCTAGCTCCTTTGTTTGATTTCAGGCACCCTGGTAATGCGCAAAAAGCCACCATCTCCGTTACCCGGCACCGAGTGGTTAACACGATAGAGATCAGAGGATATGTCTTCAAAACTGTAAAAATAGAAAGCCGCTAAATTGCAATCACACACCCAAACACCTAAGGATCAAATAGTATTAACATCGGCAGATACAGAAAAAATGCTATTGATACCACATACAATGTACATGAACA